GCAGGTAGGGGATGTCCCCCCATGGTCCCCTTCCCCTCCTCCTCCAGCCCCGCCGTCCTACTTACAGGCATGGAGTCTGGGTCCACCTCCCTGTGGTGGTGAGCAGGGACTGCCTGAATCTCTAAAGCTCTCTGAATCTTTTCCAAATTGATTCAGACCTTTTTACTGGTCTCCTAATTCAATTCAGATTCAGAGATTCAGCTGCCAAATCAGGCCGAATCACCTATGAATCAAATCAGCACCCAAAGCTTTGCACAGCCCTGTTATGCCAGTACCCTGCCCCTGCCCATGCCATTGCCCCCCCAGCTCTGCTGGTGCCCCTCACTCTGGACCTGTAGCCCCCTTCTGGTGCCCTTCACCGGTGCCACAACCCATAAGCCCCTTTCCCCCACCCCATTCCTGCTGATGCCCCTTCCTCCCTCCCAATTTCCAACCCCCTGCCACCGCTAATCCCCTCTGGGACCCCTCACTCCCAACTCACAGCCCCCTACACCCCCTCAGCCCTGCTGGAGGGGCTCCCCCAGCTGCCAGGGCTACAAGACCCAGCAACTGCATCCTACTGCCTTCCTGCTCTGCAGGTGGCCAGCAGCACCTGTGTCCCTGGCAACCATGCACAGGAGGCAGTAGCTGCTGTGACCAAAGTGGAGCACAGAGCCTGGCCCCTGGCTCCTGCCCCCTCCGTGGGTGGCACAGCTGCGACGGAGCCAAAAGGAGCCCATGGGGTTGGGGAAGGATCTAGGCTGCCTTCTGTAGGGCTCAACGCTCCCCATTCCTCTGGGGGCCTCTGTGGCTCGGTAGGTAGGACCCAGCACAGGAGGGCGAATTGGGGTGTGGAGGCTCATTGCTGCTACCAGGAGCCCTGTGCCAGCTGTGCTGCCATAGCAAAGCACCCCCTGCCCACTTGGTAGCAAGGGGGGCTGGCAGCATAGAGTTGTGCCCCCTTCTGCCCCCTGCTGCTGCTGGGTAGGCAAGGGATGCCTCACCTTGGTGGCACAGCTGGCACAGAGCCTTGCTGCCCACCTGTGCCGGATCCCATCAGCTGGGCCTTGGAGTGCACAGATCTGGGGAGGTACATGCCCCCTCATGCTCTCCTGATGTGTTGCCTTTGGCGCCTGACCCCTCTCTAGGTGTGCGTGCATAGGGCCATATTAACACTTTAGTGGACCCTAGGCAAACAAACTCGTGGGCCCCAGGCCATCAAGACCCCCCTCCCAACCCCGGTGCTGCTGCCCATGGGAAGCAGGGCTTGGAGCTGTCGCTAGGAAGCAGCGCTGTGGGAGCAAGGCTGGCGAAGGGGAGGGGAGGGAAGGCGAAGGGAAGGGAGGTGGATGGGACCATTCTCTGCTGCTGCAGGGGAAAGGACAGGGCCACCACAGCTCAGGGCCCTGGTCATGTGCCTAGTTTTGCCTATGGTCTAATCCAGCCCCGTGTGTGCAGCAGTGGGGAGCCAGGCCTCCCATTGCCTCCCAGAGGAGCTGCCTGTGGCTCTGTCCCGCTCCCTGGCTGGGTCGTGGCTGCGTGTTCACTGCCCAGCCAAGGCAAGCACCCAGCCCCAGCTGCCAAACCTGTCCTACTTCCTCTCTCACTGTGGCCACCTGAATCTGCCCCCTTTGCCCCATCCACATCATCTATGCCCCCTCCACCCTTCCATGTGAGCGGACCATATCCCCCCCTCCCCCACCCCACAGGCTGACCTGCAGGCAGTTGGGGGAGCTGCTCTTCACCACTGCCTGGCTGTATTTCTGGCCATGCACATGTATCTGTGCGCACACGTGCATGTGGCACCCCCTGCGTCCCACTCCCCACAGACCCAAGCTGTCCTCTAAAACTCTGCCAGCCTGCAGATTTTCCATGACAAACACAAAACCCGGATCCCTGATGATAAACACTAGCCACTCTGTTTCCAGCATTAGGCTACCTACCTAAGGGTGCTACAAGATGCAGCACAGTATTAGAATATTAGCAATGAAAATGGGTTAGGAGCTGGGAAACATGACTTACGAGAAGCCGGGGAAACTAGTCTTATTTCATCTGAAGATGGAGGGGGGATTTAATAACAGCCTTTAACTACCTGATGGGTGGTTACAGAGGATGAAGCCAGACTGTTCTCAGTGGTCGCCAAAAACAGGAAAAGGCAATGGTCTCAAGTTGCAGCAAGGGAAGTTTAGGTTAGGCTGGAAGAGAAACTTCTCGGGGGAGGGTAGTAAAGTACTGGAATAGGTTCCCAGGGAGGCTGTGGAATCTCCTAGAGGTTTTTAAGATCTGCTAGACAAAGCCTTGGTTGGGATGATCTATCTGGGGATGGTGCTGCCTTGAGCAGGGGGTTGGACTAGATGTGACCCCCTGAGGTCCCTTCCAACCCTAATTTTCTACACAAGAGCACTGACTATTCTGTAACCGTCTACACAATTCACAAGATCAATGCAACAATTTTGAATAGGAATCCATAATGTCAAAAAAAATCCAACCCCCCCAAAACCCCATTTCTGGCCCCTTGTGGACCAAGCAAAGAACTGCTTTATTACTTTTCTGTGGTCAAAAACTGAGCTAAAGTGAAGAGCTGGGGTTTTCAGAGGAGGTGCCTTGACTCTGAGCCATGGATGGCTTCATCTAAACGCAGGAAGAGCCAGGGGCTGTGCGCTGCTCACCTCTGACCTGTGCCAATTTGTTGGCTTGTTTTGGCTTTCGGCCTTTCCTCTCCCTCTGCTTCAATTCCAGGCCATGCTGGCCCCGCCTGTCTCTTCTGGTCTCTCGAGAAGGACCAATACTAAGAGGCAGAAGTTGATTCCCTTTCCTCAGTCCCTTGTTGCCGGTCCCTGGCTCCTTTTCCAGAGCTGCTCTTGACACATTTGTGCATTTGTGACGAAATGGCAACTCCTGAGCTTGTCTCATTCAGTCATGACGAACAGCTTTACACTACATGACGAGGAGCTTGGAAAGAAGCGGGAAGAAGCAACCGGGAAGAGAGAACCAGCCTCAGCTGCCCCGGGCCCGCCGGAACAGCAGCTCGGGGAGGGGCCGGGCGGGTTCGGGGATGGCTTCGCTCCTCCCTGCCTCCGGGCACCCGAAATAGAAGCGCGGGCGGGAGCGCGGCTGCAGTCGCGGCACAGCGGGCCCACGGCGGCGGCGCAGGTAGGACGGAACTGCGGGCGCGGCGGGAGGGGCCGGGGCCGGGGCCGGGGCCGGGCGCGGCGGGGCCCCGGGCCTGAGGCTGCAGGCACCGCTCGGAGGGGTCCCTGTGTGCGGCCCGGGGGGGC